ATACGACGAACACCTTCTTACCTTACTACAGTATGGACATTCACCAAATATGATGTTAAAACTCTGCCTACTAGTCAGTAGTCCTCTCAACCACTGAAAATGTCAAAAAGAGAAAAGAAACAGTGTCAGAAGGATTACAGATAGTCCAAACATCATTTCTTTTCTTTTGGAATGTGTTGTGTGTTTAATCCAGAAGGTCAACCTTCTTTATTATGCTTTGTAAGAACAGGGGTTCATTTCCTAAGCCAGTACCAGACTATTAATATGCTGGATAAGAAAATGAAATCAGCCTGGAATTCAAGGTGTAGACTACTGGGTTTTTTTTTTTTTTTTTTTCTTTTTTCCTTTCTTTTTTTATTGTACTTTAGATGAAGGTTTACAGAACAAATAGTTTCTCGTTAAACAGTCAGTACACACATTGTTTTATGACATTGGTTAACCACCCCACAACATATCAACACTCTCCCTTCTCAACCTTGGAGGACCTTTTTTCTCTTTTTTTGGTGAAAATATACATAGCCAAAGTTACACCATTTCAAAAGTTTCTACACGTACAATTCAGTGACATCAACTAATTCTTCCAGTTGTGCTGCTATTCTCACTATCCTTTTCCAAATTATTCCATCACATTATCTTCAACTCACTGCCCCCTAGGCTTCCCATCAAACCTTTTGAGTTGCTGTTGTCAATTTGATCTCACATAGATAATTCTTTTTTTACCTTAGATGAAGGTTTTCAGAACAAATAGTTTCTCATTAAACAGTAAGTACACATATTGCCCTATGACAATGGTTAACAACCCCATGATATGTCAACACTGTCCTTACTCAACCTTGGGTTCCCTATCACCAGCTTTCTTGTTCCCTCCTGTCTACTAGTCCTTGTCCCTGGACTGCTGTGCCTCATTAGTCCCATTTTGTTTTATGAGGCTGTCCAATCCCTGGATAAACGGTGAACCTCAGGAGTGACTTCACCGCTGAGCTAAAAGGGTGTCTGGGGACCATACTCTTGGGGTTTCTCCAGTCTGTCAGGCCAGTAAGTCTGGTCTTTTATTGTGAGTTAGAATTTTGTTCTACATCCTTCTCCAGCTCTGTCCAGGACCCTCCGTTGTGATCCCGGTCAGAGCAGTTAGTGGTGGTAGCCAAGCAGCATCTAGCTGTACTGGACTCAGTCTGGTGAAGGCTGTAGACTACTGGTTTTTAAGTCAAGTTATGGGCCTTTTTAAGAACTTGATCAAGGTTTATGCACCTTCTCTACCCCCAAATGAACATACACAAGAATCATACATCTAATTCCATGGGGTTTATAGACCTTCCCTAAATCCATTAAGCAGAAATTAAGAACCCCTGCTGTAAAAGATACCATGGGCTCTTGAAAATTTAGGTCTTAATTCTGGTCCTTCCTTAATCACCAACAGTGGGGTAAATCTCAATCTATAAATTACTTGAGGCAGTGGCTTAAAAAATGAATATTCATTATTACAAAAGAAAGCATATGTTCCCAAAGAGTATCTCTGTAACTGGACCTGATATTTTCTGATGTTATATAAAGTACATTGTGTTTCAATACCTAAGTTCCCTATAATACTAACTGCTATCTCTACCAGTAACCATAAAAATAAAGAGGTTATAACGAATTACGGAAGGTCCGAAAACTGAAGCACGACACAGTGCGACGTGTGTAATACATTGATCCACCTATAATTAAGCACACATCAACTGTGCCCCAGAACAATCTCTACAGAGAGCACATGCCTAAAGCCAGGAATGAACGCAGGCTTCACGTACAGTAAATAAAAAGTAAATAAAGTGGTATTGCTTGAGAGTGCTGGGAGATGTTCAGATGACAGAGTATTCTTGATATCGAAAGTACCATTATTGAATTTATTCTGTGCGTGAATATAGCCTGGAAAGTAGCTACTCTAGGAGTGCTAGTTCCCTTTCTGATCGCTGCCACCACCTCCTACTTGGATGAGTCTACAGAGTTTGCATTGTGGTTACTTGAGCTACTTATTGAAAGATTCCACTGCACCATCGATTTGACTGGGTATGTGTCAATGAGCTAGTCCATGAAGATATTCTGGACACATTTCTCCCCCTTTTGGATACTAAACTTTAGGACATTTCTCACTCACTGGTATGCATAATGAAGAAATGAAGCACACAGTCATCTGGAAAAAAAAACTAATAAAAGGGAGTTACTGGCAAAGGAGGGATTGCCCTTTGCTGAACAGATTTAGAGTCTGTGTATTTCAGGTATGCATACATTCTGTGTTACGTGTTGGCTGAAAAAAGTGTTGCTGACGTTGTTTAAGTTTGGTTTTTACCTCGTATAAGCACGTTTGATGGAAAGGTTGTCCACACTGGGGGTTGTCACACACTTGATCAGGAATCACACCATCAAGTTGATAAGCATAGCAAATTCCACAATCCATAGTGAAATCCTTCAAAAGAAAATAAATATTTGTAAACATGTTTAAAACACACAAGGTGAAATAAGAAAGAATAATACAGTTTCGCCTCTACTAAATTTTAATAAATACAAGTTTTTATAAAGATTAAAAAATACCCATTATTTAACCCTTTGGTGACCCAGTTATTTTCTGCTTTGAATTTTTTGTTGGTACCATGTGTTTTCATTAATGGATGCACGCTGAACCACTGAGTGTGTCTCAGGTTTTGGGAGGTAGTATGGATCTTTTCTTCTTGTCCCCCCACCCCGGCCCCAACAAGCCTACCCTTAGTGTCTCTTGGTACGTATGATGTACCATCAATTCTACCCCAGAGTCCCCACTGGGGTCTACGGGTACACATGCGTAATAAAAAATTTCAAAATTTCTACTTTCCTACCTAAAATTCGGACACGTTGTACAATACCCTGTAAAAACAGTAATTTGTGGCACAAGCCCCTGTCTTCAGTCTCACAGGGTCATACAGTCCCCTGCCTTGTGGTACAGCAGCTTCCCCATAAGCCACAGAGGCTGAAAACGTTCATGGTCGCTATATGAACCGCTGGACACAAATGGGTTAACTACTGTATTTAACTGTAAAAGACAGGATTTGACACGGGTGCGGTGGTTAAGAGCTTGGCTGCTCACCAAAAGGTCAGCAGTTCGAAACCACTGGCCACTCCCTGGAAACCCTGCGGGGCAGTTCTCTGTCCTATAAGGTCACTGTGAGTCGGAAGGGGCAGTTCTCCTCTGTCCTATAAGGTCACTATGAGTCGGAACTGACTCAAGAGCAACGGTTTTTTTGTTGTTGTTTTTTTGGTTTTAGTGATTACTAAACTTGAAAATTCTGTAACTAAAAGAAAAAGACACCACTTCAGTTATCTAGAACCTTAGCAGCTTTGTTAAAAATCAGTTCTAAGTTTATTATTTTGGGAATGGAGTGACAGCTATTAATTTTGTAAAACTGTACTGCCCTCTTTACAAACACTTATAATGAGAACTTTACTTCAGTTATGTCTAAGCAGATAGTACGGAAAATCCAAATATCTCATCAGCTTCGCTGGGCCTTCCTCCTATTTTTAATAATAAAGAGCCTGTGATTAAACATTTCACTGCTATGAAAACCGTTTAAAAAGCACACTTATAACCACCGATCGAAGGTCAGTAAGTGCTCTGATGCAGTGCTGCTAGCTGTTCACTGCTCCAGTTCACTCCCTTTTCAGCCTCACCTCTCTGTGGTACCTGGAGCGACATTTAACGCCCATTACGCAACACTCTGGACTGTCACGGCACGACGAGAACAACTTACCGGTCTGTCCAGGACAGCACGGGCTGGAAAATCAGTCTCTAAAACATCTTTCAAGTTTTGTAACAGAGTATTTTCTGGATCCCTGAAAGAATGGGAAAAAAAAGCATTTCTGCTGTTCAATTTGTGAAAGCGTACTAAAGTTAACAATTATATTGCCAAGATACGTACCACAAATGTATATTCTTGCTTAGCTTAATTCCCAGGGGTTTCACCACTTCAGATATTTTTTTAAAAAAAAGAAAAAAGCGTATAATTAAGAGTTCGCTTCTCTCATTTTGTAAAGCCACATCTGACACAAGAATTAGCTTTTTAACTACTCAGAAAATCAAAATCATACATATTATATATTAAAAAAAATCACAAAGGTATACAGCTCAGAGTGATGAGCTATTTCATTTAAAATAATATTTTAGAATACTATTTTAACAGTGGTCGACAAGGACTTTATGATTCTTTTCAAAACACATAGATGTGAGGTCTCCTCCTACCGTGGTCAGCTCCCAGAAAGCAGCACTCAGGAAGCATAGTGGGGTGTCGGGGGTCCACCTCTATGTTTATTGATGTGTTAGTCCCTAGAACGAAAGAAGATCCCAGCTTTTAGAAGCTGAACGGTTCATCGAAACAACAAAAAATAAGTGTCTGTCTGAGTAAAAAAGATTCAGGGATTCCACATTTTAAAAAACAGCCAAATTATAGTTAATATAGTTAATTTAGATTGGAATTCTGGTCAAAATTCTATTACAGTAAAGCCTGAATAACATTTCTCCACGGAGTGAATAAATCGAAAGGTCTTCAATATAAACAATATCACCACAAGCCATAAGTTTAAGAAGTAATGGCCTAAATTACCTTTTATGGCTTACTTTTCATAGAACCGTGGTCAAACGTAAAAAGCCTAGAAATACAATAAGTGGTCAGGGTAAACATGCTTTGAAGCTCGAGTTTTATGAAGAGCCGTAATCAATTTATAAAAACATTAGATGAATTCTTTTGTTCCATGTGAAGTTTCCCCTGAAGGTGAACAAAGGGTTCAATTCACATTAAAATTGAAATTATTCATTTTATTACCAAAACAACAAATTACCCAATTCACAGAATCTAAGAAAAAGGTATTTCTACACAGCCATGGATTCTTCTATAAACTGTAATGTACTGGAGTGCAGGACACGTTTCAGAAATTTTACTGCGAGTTTTTAAAGTACAGTTTGTTTAAGATCGATTTGGATTTCATTTTGTGGTAAAAATGTCTTGATAAACTCCATGCACTACAGAGTAGACCTTTTGCTAAAGATTGGCAACAAAATAAATAAAATTATTACAAATTGGGCAAAAAGGCAATCACATAAAGTAAAAAATGACTATTAAGTCACTGAACGACAAAAATAAAAAATTTTAAAATGTTATAATCTCATTTGTTAATGAATTCTTTACCATGAACACAAATCCCATATTAGCCTTTTAACAATGTTATCTAGTAATAGCTCTAGAAAGTACTTTCACTTAACAACAACGGCTGTATTAACTCATCTTTACATTAAGTTGGTGAAAACTTGGTCCTAAGAAAGCAAATTAATGCGTCGGGGAGGGAAATGAGAGCTAAAGGGGAAACAGAGACCAAAACCAAAAACCACTGCCGTCACACTCATATCGGCCCTACAGAACAGAGTAGAACTGCCCCATAGGGTTTCCAAGGAGCACCTGGTGGATTCGAACTGGCACCCTTTTGGTTAGCAGCTGTAGCTCTTAACCACTGCGCCACCAGGGTTTCCTAAATAGAGACAGGATGACTAAAAACCAGGCCGTTTGTACACAATGAAAAATACAATAAAAGTATATTAAATCATAACCTGGTAAGAATAATAATTTTAATGGGGCCATGAAGATAATAAACTACTATAACTCTTCAAAGAAAGTATCTTCATTCTTAGTACCTACTTGTTCACAAGTATACCATAATATTGTTAATTATTCCAAACTAAATGCTGTTCAGACTGTTTCAAACGAGCAAAGTAATAATACTATTTGTAGAACTGCTGCAGCCTTATACTTTTTTCTTCTCATATTAACATATCACTTTTTCCCCCAAATAATCTACTATGCCTAGGTAGAAACTGTAAACCTTGCTGGGTAGTTTAGATACGATTCACATCACGATTTCAAAATATCCTGTGGAATATACACACCTCTCAACAACATATCTATATGGGCTAAGGAAAATAAGGAGAGAGATAAATGGGTATCTTATAACCAGATGACTATGGTATTTAATATGAGCTCAGAATACAGTTTAAAGCATCTAAAATCTTCAGAGGCTAAACTCTAAAACCGACTTTATGTATTGCTTGCTCATAATGAACACACAAATATATAATCATTTTATAATCGAGACAATATGGTGACATTGCAGGGAGATTTTTGGTTATGCTACAGCTTATTCATTAATTTCACAAATTTAAGGCAAATAAACATACTTAAAATATCTTCCACTCTTCTGTTGTGCTTTCTGCTTACTCTTCCATGGCAGCCCCACTTGGGTTTCTTTTATCTGCTCCTCTGTGGGCGTATCAGAAAACGTTCCTGGATTTGTTCACACCAATCTCGACTGGTTTCACAGATGGAAGCTTCATTATTTTTAACATTGTTTGTTGTTGCTGGTGTTCTGAGTAATGTAAGTTTTGAATATCCTGCTTCACTCCTCTTGTGCTAACTGAAATCTAATTAAACACCATGCCTGAAAGCTGCTTCCATAGCATCATCACCTTTTACAATGAAACACCTCAATATTTGCCCTTTGCACCCTGAAATATTTACATTTAAATATGCAGTACTAGTGGCACAGTGGTTAAGAGCTCGGCTGCTAACCAAAAGGTGAGCAGTTCAAATCCACCAGCTGCTCCTGGGAAACCATAGGGGGCTGTTCTACTCTGTCTTATAGGGTCGCTATGAGTTGGCATCAACTCAACGGCAACGGGTTTGGTTTTGGTTTTTTTGTACTAAAAGAAATCATAGTAAAACTCAAAAAATCTTAATAGGTGGCTTCATACAAAGAAATCTAAAGAGTCTAACTCTCATTTTTAGATTTAGTTTCTTAAGTAATACCAAATAAAATCAAACACATAAAAAAATAAAAACCTTAATCCTTTTACTCCTACCTAATGCAATCCTTCGAGCTGTTGCACTCCTTGTAGGTTTTTCTGGCTCAAGTACCCAGGTCTTCTCATCAATTTCATCCATAACATCCCAGAATGCCTTCAGTGAGTCTAACGCTGCCAAAAACTGACTATGAATGCTTTTTAAGGAGCTCTGTGAAAAGATGAACGCTGAGTAAGTTACATGGCGCTCCACCAACAGCACATAATCTTTCACTTAAAATACAACTCAATTTAGAAATTTTAAGCTCTGCTTCATTTCAGTTAGAAACTAGACTCCAGTAAACAAAACTCAACTCCCCCTGCTTCACATCTCTTCACCTTCACTAGCATTAACGGGATTCTTTTTTGTCACTAGACCATGCATATTACCATGGAAGAAAGGCTTTTCAAAACCGTATTTATTTTTGTTATGATGGATGGTGTATGGTATGTATATAATAGTAATTACTAACTCAAGACATATATGTACAACTTCATTACGGTATCTAATGCATTTAATATATATTGGGCATACAGTCTATAGAATTCTAGTCTGAAAATTATCTTAATTTCATTTTTGCTGCAGTTAAACCCAGTTCAATACAGCACTCTTTGTAGTGTGATTAAATTAGATCACCTGTAATATTATAAATAAATAACTTAGCACACCTCACTGGACAAAAAGTATGGAAAACTTTTACACACTTTTTATGGATTCAAACAGAAATGACAAACAAGATTTCATTCCACATTTAACTTTTAGCCAATCTCTAAATTCAGTATTTCAGACATTAATCCTTTGTGAGGATTGGCTCAAATACATTTTCCCTAAATGGTAAGAGGTAAAGCCGTTGTAATTTATACCTTTACTTTTTTTAAACTAAGGAGTTTCTCATAAAATGTAGTATATTTAAAAGATATAAATATTTTACTATATAGTTTTAATATGAAAAGCAGTCTGTTTGAAAAGTTTTCAAACTTTTAAAAAACAGCTTCAAAAAGAATTACGGGTTTTATTTATTGTTTCAAATAAGCAAAACATAAAAAGTCACTGAAAATATTATAAATGTATTCATCCTAAATGATTAATACAAGCCAACAATGCAAGACTATGAAACACCCCAAGTAAGATTTTTAAAAAGTGCCCACTTCCTTAAACATGTAGTTAGCACCTATGTACTGAAAGAAAACCTATTCCATTTTATCCCTTCAGTCTGGGTTTATACTTGGATACGTTCGTGACTGAGTTTCACAAAGCTGGTTCAACACTTCTAACCTATACACAGAAAAAAGGGTAAGAGTAGGAACTGGTAGATTAACATGTGAAAATAATCAAGTAATACACACAGCTAGTCCACCTCATCATCTCCAACAAGAAAGGGCGTGTTCCAGCTGTGTTCCTGTTAGTACACTGACGGAGGAATGTCCATCCCCTTCCAGCACACCGTACTTACCTACAAGTTTAGGTGCCAGAATCCCAGAATCAGAAAACTCCTGACCGCCTAGTTTTTAAATCAGCACAATAGTGTGTGCAGTAGATAACTTCTAAGGTAACATACAGCTCAAAAAGTCAAAAATTCTAAATATAACTATGAAAATCCATACAGTAGGTGATCCCTTCCACTTAAAAGTACTTATATTCCCTTTCAAGACACTGACTACTATCACGTATTCCCATTTATTTCTACTTCTTGTTTATAAACAGATTTTATCCCTTAACCTACATATAAATATATCCATTCAGTATAAATAATTATATTTACATGACTCAACATATAGTAATTTTTCCTTCTTTAATCAAAAGAACTCATATCAGAATCAAAATATCTGTACTGTATTGCATTTTATATCCCATGTATTTAAGGGAGAAGTCAACGATGCATTACATGACTACTATTATTTTCTAAACTATAGGGCAAGAATCTCAGTCTTCCAAAACTTTTAAGTCTTTGGAACCAATGTGGAACCACACATTCCTCACAGGAATAGTGAAGCGATTGAACAGTATAAATATGGTGAAGATCCCAAACTTACACCCAGAATACTGCAACCACTGAATTCACTAATCAAAGGAAAGAGCCATCCCTTTTTGCACAGACACAAAACAGGTTAATGGAAATGAAACAGAAGAACAAAGATAAAAGAAAATAAACAATGGAGAAGGAAGACAACAGGAATGAGCAGCTAACAGACACGCACATAAGCCTGAGTGCCCAGGACGCAATAAACTCCCTTACAGAGAAGAAAAATATCCCAGAAACCAATATGATGCAGAAGCCTCTCAGCTAAGGATCTGGTGAGGGGAGGACAACTTATCCTTAAAAACTTTTTTTTTTTTTTAATAAAAAGAGACTGAAGGATTGAATTGTGTCCCACAAAAAGTTATGTTGCGATTCTCACCCCTCTGTTCGTACATATGGCACTGTGCAGAAACAGGTTTCTTCGGTGATGTTAATGAAGTCATAGCGTAGGGGGGTGGGCCCTTCACCTAGTCCCTTCTGAGTGGCCCCTTATAAAAAGAGCATAACAGACATGTGTGCACAAAGGGAAAACAGATACCATGGGAAGATCCCTCGACAAGCAAAGGAACACCAAGGATTGCCGGCAGACACCCAAAACTAGGAGACGGGCTTGCAGAAGGAATCCACACAGTCCAGACCCTTATTTGGACTTTTAGCCTTAAGAACTGTGAGAAAACAGATTTCTGTTCTTTAAAGCCACCCATTTGAGTCTGAAACTCAGGCAGAGACATGCTGGCAAAGTTAGAAAACATATAACAAACTGAGAAGGGATGATAGTCAATTGCATTCCCCTTCACCTGCCCCAAAGGTTTGCAGCAAACGTCCATGCTGAAGGCACATCAAACACCAAAACCAAACCCGCTGCCGTCAAGTCGACTGGGACTCGCAGCAACGCTACAGGACAGAGCAGAACGGCCCCCACAGGGTTTCCAAGGCTGCGTATCTTTACAGAAGCAGACTGCCACATCCTTCGCCCGCGGAGTGGCTGGAGGGTTTGACTGCCGAGCAGCCGAGCCCTTTAACCACTGCGCCACCAGGCTCCTCACATCAAACACAACAGAATATTTTATCTATTTGTCTGTCTGTCTGTCTGTCACTTCTATGTGGGGTAGCAAAAAAAAAAAGACACAGACTTAAACAACAAATTGGAAAACTGCCTCTACAATATTACATGCACAAGGCACACAAGAGCTACGTTTAACAGCAGAGATATTCCCGGATACAGAGTCCAATCTTCCTATAGTGAAAAGCAAAGGTCGGAAGAATAAAAAAGGATGTATTAATCTTAAGGAAAAAACAGACATCTCTACATGACTTGAAAAGAGCAGGCATAAAGATATTAAGACATCAATCCAATATTAGGTTCCCATAAGGCACTTCATGAAATTCTCTGTACCTAAACCAGAATACCTGGACTGGCCTGGATATGAGCATCTCAGTGAAATGATCTGTATGTGGGGTTGCTGCACTGACTCACGGAAAAGATTTCTGAACAAACCATTCTGTTGGTACTACAGATCTGGCAGTTGAACCTTCAGATCATGAACCATCAGAAAGTCAGCCTGGTCAAAAGGTCACCCAATCACAGCCTTATAAAAAATGAAAGGCTTACTCTACTTCCTGAACTGTTTCATAATGCTGAAGCACGGTCTATTTTGTCAAGGCTTGCCAATCTTTATGCCGGACAGGTGAATCAACTTCCCTGATAGTCAAGCAGGGAAAGGGCAGTTTGGGCGTATCTGTTCATCTTTAATAAATAAATCTTCAGTTAACTAATTATATCATTTTTCTAAAATCTTAAAAGGGGTCACATTTTCTACTTATTGCTTATGAAGTACAGGCCAGTGAACAGGGAAGCAGAGGAAGATTGTCTTGTAGCTCCAGGGCTAGAAGATCTACCTGTAGTGAAAGAAATCAGTGCCCTGGTTTCCACGGTGTCACTACCCCCTGGTGAATTATCTGCATGCTTAGCACTAAACACTGTTCAAAACACGCACACACCTAGTACTGAAACGCTGGAAAACTTTCCTTACATCTTACAAATAAACAGGCACACATGCAAACTGAGTTAGCGTCTGTGGCTCTTTGTTAGTTACACAGAAGTCACAGACATTTTCTCAAACAGTGGTGATAAGTCGAAGGAAGGGAAAGCAACTGGGAAGAGGATCACAGTTTTCTGGGTGGCAAGGAAATCGTTTGGGAGAAGATTTGTGCAGCCTTTAATTTATAAACTGATTTTAAAGAAGGTCTGCTAAGTTATACTGCTTAGGGGGTCACAGAGAGTTGAATAAGTTTTGTTCAATCTCTGAAACACAAGTCAAACAATCAAAAAGCAAACAGGATTGATTTTTTTTTAGAAGGTAAGTCTCTGGGCCATAAGGATGAGTGTTCTCTTTGGACCCTTGGACTACATCACCTTTATCTGTAGCAAATAACGAAGGTAATCTGTCTAAGCTTGGGATCTTCCCAGAAAACAAAGTCCGAGACAAGGGCTTGTACACATGGTCTATTAGGGAAGCAATCTTAGGGAATGAGAGTGGGGATTGGAAAGAGTGAAAGCAAAGTGAGCAGGGAAAGCCAAAACAAGGGTGTATCTTCAAGCTGGTCACTGTGGTCAACTATGGCTCAGTCTCGCTGGGACTCTGGGGGCAGATGTAGGAGAAGGCTCCTTATTTTGCCGTCCAAAAATGGAAATGGGAAGCACTTACCTACTGGCTTCCATTCCCCCTTCGTCAAGAGTTGTCCTAAGAGGGATTAATGCTCTCACAGTCAGAGGTTTACACACACACACACGCGCGCGCACACACACACACACACGTACGTCTAGGGCTTCCAATGGGTGTCCTTGGTCTCAGCACTAGAGAAACCTTGGTGTGTAGAAAGATACAGTGGTACCAGAGCTGAGGTGTGGTTGTTTGGTCAGGTTACACTGAACCATGAAGCAGATCAAAGCAATATGGCTGAGTACAACGGGGTCGCAAAGCAAGTGAAGTTGTTGTTGTCAGGTGCCGTCGAGTCGGTTCCAACTCATACCGACCCTACGTACAACAGAAAGAAACACTGCCCAGTTGTGCAGCATCCTCACAGTCATTGCTATACTGGATCCCATTGTTGCAGCCACTGTGCCAATCCATCTCTCTGAGGGTCTTCC